AGAGAGAGAGAGAGAGAGAGAGAGAGAGAGAGAGAGAGAGAGGGGTTTAGTTTCTCACATACCTCACACCATGCAAGGAACCAAAACCACCCAACACTGTTGGCAAATATTTGAGAAATCCGTCAACCAATGAAAGACCACGTTTAAATCTCTATTTTACGCAGCATTCGAACTCTTTTTCCTGGCCCTCCAATCATCTGCACCCAACTACTTTTCCTGGCCCTCCGATCATCTGCAATCCACGGTCGGATGGAACGTCACACCCTGCAGCATAGGGCCAACCAAAACTTTTCGGAGCGCTAGTGGGACTTAGCCCCGGGTTGTTTGTGAGGTATTCCCGGGCTCTCCATTTTATTATTTTTTTTGTTGAGAAAGTTGGTCACATTTATTTGGAAGTTAGGAATAAGGGTCTCCTTAGACACTCCTAAAAGAATCCTAAAATTTTTAGGACAGTCCTAAGGGTTTTTTAGGATTTGGTGCGTCGTGGTTACACGCATTCCTAAAAGACCATCGTTTAGGACCAGTCCTAAAAGAAAGTCGTAATTAAAAAAAAAAAAAAAAAGAAAAAAAAAGTCATGCTTCAGGGTTTCAGCCAATAGGGTGCACCAGGAGTCCAAGACAACGGAGCCATGCGCACGTCGCCACGACTCCGTCAAACGCGGGAATCCTAAAAATTTCAGTAAGTCGGGGGCTACTGAAAAATTTAGGACGAACGCCGTTTTCACATTTTCGATCTCGAAATCGGATTTAGGATCGCGTGCAACGACGATGCAATCCTAAAAACAGGCATTTTTAGGAGTGTCTAACGAGACTCTAAGATAAATTCATACAAGGCAGGGGACCTCACAATTAGACCCGGGTGAACTTACTGGGGCCATTACCCACCTTCAGTTAACACTGGAAACTGGGTCCGGTGTCCCAGTACTGACTCTGTTACTCCAGCAGTACAATGTTATATTCTCCCCCCCCGAAAAAAACAAAGGAAAAAGAAAAGAACTGGGATCTCGCCCCCACTCTGGAGGAAGGGTGGGGAGGTGCAGTGGTAGGTCCTGTTGGTGATACGTTTGTGGTGAGCTATCCTGAGCACTCTGGCCAGTTTTACTGTACACCTGGACTTCCTGAGCACCAATGGGGGCTGCCTTTAGGGCAACGTCTGAAACCGTCCCATCCGATCGCGGAATCTGTCATGAGTCAGGCCCCACAGGTGCGATTTCCTACTTGCTACACGGAGGCTTTTTTGGGGGGCGGCTGCCGGTAATGTTCTTTTATTGGGCAACGGCCTTGAGAAATCACCATTTCAACTGACCGGCCCACGTAATTCAGAACTATTTAATTTGCTCGTTTGATGGAAGCCGGGTTCGAGCTTCGGTCCGTAGTTCAACAGCTCAACTTGGTATACCAACTGAGCTAGTAGGGTAGTTGGGCTCCGTACATTTTCAGCCCAGCCCAGCCTAGCCCAGCCCAGCCTAGCAGAGCAGAGCACGGCCACAAGTACAGCACCAGCGACCAGCGGGAACCGTGTGGAAAACCCACGGTTGGTGGTGTTTTGCGGTGCTTTGACCGAGAGCGTGGCGGGTGCAACGAGGAAAACGGTGAACACCGGAACGGACGCTTTTCTCATCATCATAGCATCATAGCGGGAAAACGACGGAAACAGAAGCAAGGAACAGGGAAAAGAGAAAAAAAGAAAAAAAAGGAGCAGGTGTCTGCGCAAGGATGCCAGAAGCAACAGGTCGTTGGTGCCGGCACGATCACAGAACGGGGATAGGCTCAATGTTTGGGGGGCTTCGAGCGCATGATCTCCTCTTTTTGGACGAAGTTTCCGACATGTTAGGCTATTCCAGCCGCCGCTTCATTCGAAATTTAATTAATTTATTTATTTTTTCCAAAAAGATATATTCTTCTCTCAATTTCACCTCACACTACCTACCTACCACTACTCCTGATTGTAGGCATACCCGAGAGAAAAGAACAAAATCGCCCCCTTTCTCAATTTCTTCTGCATCGTTGGCGCAACAGGGGCGCGATGGGATGGTAGTAGTTTTTTTTTTTTTTTTTTTTTGAGATGGTAGTAGTACAGTATCTCCTCCCCCAAGAAGTAGTATCTGCAGAGGTCCAGGCGCTGTATCACGGTGCTAACCAAAGATGAACACGGGCACTTTTACGACCAGGAACCAAGCCTCACTAGCGTTTTTTTTTTCTTTTCTTTCTAGCGGGGGTTGAGTGAGGACATACTCACATAGCACTTTTTCAAATATATGTGACTGCGAATACGGCCAGACCTGATGCACCTGACTGCAATCACGTCTAGAGCTGCGTCGAAAATCCTAGTGTGAGTCTATATGCAATTAAATTAATTAGTTTTCAATCAAGAGCTGTTCACCGTGGGCACAGTGCCCCAACCCATGCGTGCTTGAAAGCGACCTGAAACCCCGTTAGAGGGGCATGGCCCCAGGGTTCATGACTCCCAAGCACGAACATAGCACCACCGGGGCCCTCTGTGGACCCACTGGTGTGCCATGAGCGGGTATCCCCTCTTTTCCTTCTTTTTTCCGCAGGATGGGTATCCCTTTTCCTTTCACTGCCTTCCATCATCAGGGAACCCGAGGGGCTCGCCGCCCCAGCCACCAATCTGAAAACGAGAAGAACCTTGGCGCGCGTATCTTTCCGCGTTCTAGCGGAAGATTCACCGTCCATTTGGACAGGTCGGAGATTCATAGTTCCAGACAAGGCCCCGCGCTTTTTCGCGATCCATCCCTATCCCCATTCCCATCCTCATCCGTATCCCCATCGGCGGGACCGAGGTAAGGGCATACATACTCCACACTGGGACTTTCCTGGTTGCATCTGACCGTTTTCTCGGCCGTGCGTTGGCCATACGTGGACGCACCTGACCATAATTCCGGCCCTAGACTTCTGGTAGTAGTTCAAAAAGCGCTCCTGCGAGTAGGAGCGACTAGTCCCCCGCGCCCTTTTTTTACTGTGGGACCGACGGAATGGGCAACAGCCCCGCCCTTTTTTAACTTCCTTTTATTTTTGCGTTCGTTTCGTTTGTCGTGTGCGACCGGAAAAACCGCAATCCCCGCTCTGGTGCTCGGTAGTTTTTTGCCAATCCCCGCCGCTCTGGCGCTCCTGCCGACGACCCGGCAAAACCGCAGAGAGAGAGAGCAGAGTCCGTGACCGAGACCGAGAGCGAGACCGACCGACGCATACCGCCGTTTGCTGGCGCCAGCCCGGCGCAACGGCGCGGCCCGGCGCATCGGCGCGGCGGGGTGTAGTGCAGCAGTAGAGGCGTAGGCAAGGACACCGCAGGACCGTAGCGAGTAACGAGAGGGAGAGAGGTAAGCAATTCCGATGCGGGGGAGAGAGTCTAGGAAGGGCAGAGAATGCTGCGATCCTGCCGGTCTGTCACCGAACGGCAATCGTCCCTCGCCATCGCCGAGTTCTTCGTCGCCGTTGGCCGGTTTTGCCGAAGGTAGGCGTAAGTGTTCAATCTTCCCCCCCTCCCCCTCTCTCTCCCTCTCTCTCCCTCTCTCTCTCTCTCTCCCTCTCTCTCTCACTTCTTTCCTGAATCTGACCATCGACCACTTACCTTCTTTCTCAGCTCCTCCTCCTCCCTCCTTCTCCTGCTGCTGCTGCTCCTCCTCCCCTCCTTGGTACTGTCGGCCCATATTCTCTCTCCGGTAGCCGTTGATGTTTCCTCCTTCCTACCCTCCGTTCTGACTGCTTTTTTTTTTTTTTCCGGTCTGCCTTGTGCTAATTCTCTCTCTCTCTCTCTCTCTATCTCATGTCAAGCTTGCCAGTGGTTTCTCATCTGTTCCGGATCCGCACATCGGTTCCACATCTCTTCTTCCCCATCACCGATTTTCCATTGTTCGTCTTCCAACTGTTTTGCACATGCCTTTCTCTCCTCTCCTCTTTGCCTTCCCGAGGCTATGACTTGTTTTCTTTTTCCTTTTCGACGATTGATGTCTCCTTTTATATCTATCGGTGGGAGCTGCACCTCCTGGGGGCAAAATTCCCAGGCTAAGGATTCGTGTCCTTCTTATACATGATTACAAATTTCTTTCTTGGAGTGCAAATTTCCGCTCTTGGTTTTCTACTAGAGCGCAAATTCCGATTTAAGCTCCCGCTACTTGGGGTAGCCTTGGCGCACCTGCCATTCCCCCTGTCTTTGGCTCCTTCCTCATCCTCCGTCGTCTTGCTTCTCCCATTTGTCGTCTTTGCAGATGTTCATTGCCTGTTTGTTTGTTGCTTTGTCTTTTTCTGCGCGATCATTGATTTCCCATCATTCCTCTTCCAACTGTTTTGCGCATGCCTCTTTCCTGTTTGCCTTGCAGCCGCGCACCATTCAACGGCTTATGCCGGTCGCACACCTGTGCGTATCTAGACTCTCCCCAATGATTGTATAGCTGCTGCTTCCTCCTCGTTATGCCTGCCTTTCCCTTGACAATGAACGTCTTCTGATGTCGGTAAAAACTTTATACTATGAATCGCTACCGTGTGTCACCCTTGTTTCCTCCTCATCGCTCGAATTGGTCGCTCTGGATCATTTAATTTCCGAATCGATCTATTTCCGTCCTTGTCTACTCTCTCCCCTGTCACGCATCTGTCACGTCTTCCTCCTTGGCCTGGCCTTTCACCGCCGCCCCTTCTCCTCCCTCGTCCTCGTCCTTGTCTTCCATTCTTGCAGGATATTGCCTGAAACAGCCATCGGGTTGCCTTTTTTCGTCGACACTGTCATTTCCTCCTTGCCGTTTCCTTCACGTCCTGCTTATTGCCATTGGTTGGGCTCCATCGTGGGGAAGCAATCATGTGAGACCAAGAGCAATTTGGCCATTGCTTGTCCTGTGGTTGACACAAATGTGAGCTTCTCCGCGCGCGCATGTGTGTCTGCGTATTCATGCACGAATAGGTGTGTGTGCTGTCTCTTATACACATCTAGATGTGTATAAGAGACAGCTATAACCCAGGGTAAGCTTGAGGCCTGGGAAGTATGCCGAGGGTGGAAGGCATAACTAGATCGTATGA